GACAAGCGAAGCATGACACAACAACTCAAAGCAAACAATTTTGGAAACAGAGTTAGGCTTTAACTGGAAAGTATGAATCTTCTAGGCTTCGATAATCTGCCCAAAGAATAGGGAAGGAGGAACTTGAAACCCCGCTTCAAAATAATAGAGATAAAAGTCGATCTTACCAGGGGAGGGCGATCAATGATTGTCGTAGCACCAGGAATGGCAGCACCATCATCATCAACAAGATGATACTTCAAAGAAACTTAGTCTAAAAGTGAAACGAGATGAGGCATCACAGGGTGAGACATTGTTTTCACCAATTTGAAGAAACCCAAATGAAAGAAAACACATCGTATAACTAAAAGAATAAGGGGAAAACCATCGGATGTGATGGGCATTTTATAGGACAAGAAGCAGGAAAACAACCGCCTCTAGATCAAGAAAGAGAATGGTGACACGAGCACCAACATGCGTGACACACACGACCGGTCGGCTCGTTTCCCAGACACTTTAATGCATAATTAAGCCTAATCATTAAAACCAGTTTAGCTACCACTTTTAACAATTAGGTTGGGGGCTTAATGGTGTATGGGAACTAACCCATAAATAAAAGCAAGTCAAGATAAGAAACAGTCTAGATAGCGCCAGCAAAGCTCAAATGCATAAACAGGACGGTGCCCAACTTCAGGACCGGTCCTGAGGATTCAAATGTTCGGGACGAGCCGGAAAAAAAAGGCCCTTAAGCCGTAAAGTGTAACGAATTAAATTTATATAAATTGCAGTTTTTTTAAACGACGATAGATTTTATAACAATAAACATAGAAAAATCATAGTATTTTACTAAAAAAATGATAGAAAAAGCATCCACCTAACAGAATATTCAGTTAATGAACATAAATCAATAAAAGTTGAATAGCTTATCTGATTTTGTCATATCCATGTTAAGTCATTGAGTAAAAAAAAATTTAAGACAATGATATGAAGTTGACTGTGTATAGATTATTTAAAACTAAAAGCTTATAAAAGAAGTCTATTATTGGACTTCTTAAAGATTTAACAATATTTCTCCGTGTTCAAGTTCACATTCACCATTTGACAAAGTATTTTTTTTAATTTGATATATGTTTTATGGTGAATGTAATTGGATATAACATCAAAAAGTTTGTGTAGAGTTGGTTTTCTATCACACAAATTCCTAGTTTTATATTACTTGAAATAAAATATAATATATTATGGTGTTCCAATCACTTTGAGATACAAAACCGATCATAACTGTGAAGGCATTTCTGCTTTATCCTAATTATCAAATGGTGCCCTAATAATTTGAGATAGAAATCATCAATGGATAAATCCTTCCCAGATGGATAAAATCCAATTAATCAAAAGAAAGAAGAAACTCACACTGTTGCCACATAACTCCAGCATATTCATATCCCTTTTTTGTTGCGCCAACAGCCTTCTTTGCCCATCTCCTAAACAGAACCCTCGCTTATTCCATTGTATCTACCATTCTGCCAACACAAACGCAAGCCTCTGAACATCAAAATACAATAAGGACTTATCTCAAAAGATATAATCAGAAAAATTGTGAGCAAACGCCATGGATTTGTACATAATTTTTGGAGTTTCCGTATCCCAACGAAGATTCCAAGGGTTTTTATTGTAGCGAGACGTTCTCGTTTACATGATATTTGGTCGTGATTCGACTTTCCCGAATACAAAATACAGTATATAAAAAAATTAGGGCCCCTAAAAAAATTGGGCCATGTTCACATGGCCAATTTGCCCTCCCTCACAACCGGCCATGCCCAACTTAACCCAGTTTACCCATGCCGGACAACAATAAAATATAAAAGAAATCTTACGTATGGCAATATCCCGGGGAACATGGAAAAGGCGACATTATTTTATTGAAGGGTTCTACCCTTGCGACCTTTGGGCAAAAGCATCGCCTCGACAGAATAGCAATAAACCGGACTGACACCCATCTATAAAAGGTGTCAAGTATTTATCGAATAGGCAGGATCACCCTTCCTTTCTTTCTTAAGAGCCTCAAGCAATCTTTCTTGCAATATCAATTGACATTTAACTTAGGCATCAGAGAGTAATATCGGGGTCCAACCCTCAGTATGACTTTCTAACCTAGATCTTGTATATCTTGTGCATCGTGCCTTCCTAAGTGCTCGTTAAAAGAGGTCTTCAAGGGCCAGCTAGCAACGTATCTGACAACCATGTAGCAACATTTGTGCTAGCTCCTTGTTAGTTTTTAATACATTTTTGTCGTTCTAAAAAAAATATGACATACTCAATACAAGTGAATTCCGTTTTAATGATGCCAATGCGTAACAAATGAGGCTCCTAAAAATTTAAAGGAATATATAAAATTTAGTGGTCGTATCTTTTTTAATTATCCAGTTATTTGTTAGTCATTTTCTTATGTTGTATTATAAGCATTCATACAAGAACTAATCTTGAATAAACCATTAATGATACATGAGCGGCTGAAGACCATGTGTGGTAAAGCTCAAGTTACAAGAAGTACAACTACATTTGCACCTATTGCACCTGATAATTACTAAATGTGACTGTGAAAAAATAAATAAATAAATAAATAACATGTGTCTAATTGTCCAAATAATGCACCTTAATCATATCTTAGATGTTGGACCATCATCAAAAAAGAGAAAGACAAAAGTCATTGCATCCAAATTGTTCACAAAGATGATAGAAAAGGGCATGTATATGAGGAAAAACCAAATGAAGATTTTGTAAACTATGTTGAAGAGTCGAGGATCATAGGTGGTTATCCTAAATAAATATACAGGTTTGTTTTAGTTTTACGGATAACTTCACTAGGGTAGGAGTGTGGAATGGCTTGGACGATTGTATCAAACTAATATTTGTGAAGAAAATATATGATGTTGGTTATTTTTGGTGTTAAAACTAATATTTCTAGTATGGATTTTAAACAATTTGGGGGAAGAACCTTGTTAATTTTCAAGTAAATAAAGATATTTTTGTAGTAGAATTTGTCTGAAATTATGGATTTTGAACAAATTGTGTGGGAAAACTTTTTAATTTGAAATGATGTCGTTTTTTAACATCGTTTTTTGTCATCTTCTAAGATCATGTTTGATACGTTTTAATTTGGGTTAGTGACACAAAAGTGATTATTTATACAAATTTGTTCTGAACTTCTTTTTGTTCCTTATATGTCATTATATTTTGGAAAATTTTCATTTTTAGGTTTTTGGCCGGTAAACAACATGTTATGATGACCTGATTTTCATTTTTAGGTCTTTGGTAGAAAACAACATGTTATGATGACATGAAATTTTGTCTGCAACATTTTTTTTTTAAAACGGCAAACTATCTTACTTCTATTCTAATCCTAAACACCACCTATGTCCGCTAGTGAGACTTGAACTCATGACCTCTTATTTGAGAGAGTCACTCCTTACCGCTAGACCAAAGGCCCTTCGGTATTTATCCCCAACATTTACGTCTCAGTTTGCGTTTTGCCCCAACATTTTTTTGTTTCCAATATTCTAGTTTTTGGATTTTTTTTTTTCATTTTTAGCCATTGGTTGGTCACCAATGAGTATTTCAAAACGTAATAGTTTAAAATGAAAAAAAAAAAGGATTAAGCGTTGAAGGAAAGAATATCCAATAGCATTTTACACAATAACAAAGAGAGCATTGACTCACTAGCTAACAAGAGCTATTATTTATGTCATGACATCATAATTCGAATCAACAGAAGTATATTTTTCAAAATACAATGACATGATGAAAATTAATTTGGAAGTAATTTTTGTAATAAGAAAATATGAAAGTATACAGCTATAATAAGGGAAAAAAATATAATGATATTTCTTGCATTTAACTTTTAAAATTATGGATACTGTCATTTCATTTCTTTGGTTTCTCAACCATTGACATTAGAAATAGTCAATTCTTTGTTAGATGAATTAAAGTTGATTTAGCAAATTTGATTGGTTTAGAGATCGGCATGTAGCATTGTTTATTAGATGTCATAGGTGCGAGACTTACGTTATGTGTTTTCCTTCGCTATAAAAGATCAATTGGGGTTACTAGTTAAGAAGCTCTGCTCCTCAACGAGAAGTTATTGTTTCTACTCTTGTCTTTAACACCTTTTCATTTTTCTTAAAATACTTATTGGTGCCCGACCAAGGCTAGAAATGAAAAAAAAAATTAAAATTTAAAAAAAAAAATTAAAAAATAATGGCAAATTTTGTTAAAATGCAAACTGAGACATAAGTGTTAAGACTACATGCAAAAAAAAAATTTGAAACATACCGCGTCATCATAATCTGTTAGTGTCAGTGACTAGCACACATTGTCCAAAATTGAAATTTTTTTTACCAAAATGGAGTGATATATAAGGATCAAATAAAAAATTAAGGTTAAACCATAAAAAACCGTATAAATAATAACTTTTATGACATTAACCCCTTTAATTACCAAACAAAAAAAATACAACTTGTTCTTTTTCATTTCAGCCTTACCTAATGTTATTTTGATCGTCTCAGGCTTACCGAGTGTCATACCAACTTCACATGTGCCAAACGTTTTCTAAAGAACTATAATACTAATCGTATTTTCAATTTATAATATTATACTTTTAAATTTTATCATTTGCAATTTAACATATCTATTAAATTATAATAGTAAAATTACTTTATCCTTTGCAATTTAACAAATCTATTAAATATAATAGCATAATTACAAGTATTTAGACGAAGTTGCTATAACTAAATAAATTGCAAAAATATAATGTTACGAAAAGAAGAAATATTTGTTTCATGTATTTTACCATTAAAATAATGAGAAAATAGATATCACCTTGTAATATTTTGACTTTCAATCTATTTTTCAAATAAAAGTAGTAACTAATTTTAGTACTCTTCAATCTATCACTTACAACATTAGTTCATTCAAATTTAAACTATAGTTCATATACATGTAACATTTTAAAAAATAAAAATAAGTTTCCCACACGTGTGTGATATATAATCATATATGCCTAGATAGATCCTGCCTAAAAAGCTTAATGCACACACTGCCTTCTTCCTTTAAACCTTTTCAAAGCTCAAGCTTTTCAGCCATTAAAAGATTTAATGGTTGCAAAGAAAAAGAAACAAGGTACAAGAATAGTTTAACATATATCAAGAATTCCATTATCTTACACATTCTTACTACAAATTTGCAGCAACTCCTTCACATCTCTCATCTCATCATCTGTTCTTTCAAGAAATCAAACTACAACTCACAATCAAAGAATTTAAGAGATGTGTGATGAGGTTTGAAACTGAAAGAATCTAATCCAGTTTGCACATAAGGAATTGGGTACCAAAATGACTAAATGACCCATGCATGATGATGATGCACTTGAAAACAATCTCTTTACTTTTCTTTTTTCTTTTTTTTTTGTAAATAAAGAGTTGTGAAACATATATGTGATTTGTGTTTTGAATTTATATAAATGAAAATAATTCCAATGTCTGCCTACACGAAAAAAAAAAAAAAAAAAAAAATTTTTCAATAGTGGTGACAATTTTGGGTTCAATGTGTTTCTACTTTGAATGATTCTATTTGTGTATGATTCTAGTGAAGTGGAAAAAGGAAGTGTTTAATTACATGTCTTTATCTCAACTCACTCCATGTTTGGAGGTGGAAGTTTCCAGAAGTTCCATGAGTTATAATCCTCCTGCAAACAAACACACAACGAATTAAACATTGCTAAAGAAAATGTATCATAAATTTAGGGTTTCTTTCTTTGAAGTCTTTTATGGGTAATGATGTTTGTCTGGATAAAGTGTTGTATACATAAGGTTTGTTTCTTTTCTAAACCGAATAAATTGTCTGTACGAGATTAAATGACCATTTTACCCTTACATTTCGAAAAGAATAGTTTCACATTAGTTATCAATTTTAACTTGAGAGGACTTTTAGGCAAAAAGGAGTTTTTAAAAAAGCATTTGGATTATAGCTTTTGTGGTAGGAAAAGTTTATAAGTCAAAAAGTTGTTTTTTGAAAAGTTTTTTTTACTTAGCTTATACATGTTTTAAGTGGTATTTTAGGGTAATATTGTCTTTTACAACCCAAAAAGTTATAAGGAGTTCTGAAAAGTTAGAAACCTCGACTTATTGAAATCTCCTTTTTGAAGAAGTTATTTTAAAAGTCCTCTTCATATCACCAAACACTTTTTTTGACTTATTGACTTTTCAAAAAGTCAATAAGTCAATAAGTTGTTTTTTAAATGGAATCCCAAACACCCTCGAAAAAGAAAAAGTACAAATAGATAAAGGGTTAGTTTCTTTATACATTAAGCCAGGTTTTTTGGCTTAACCCCTTAACTCAATTCTTTCTAAATTAAGTCAAAAGGAAACAACCATGTATAATTTTCCAAATTAAGTAGTTAACTCATTAAGTGTTTCATTAAGTCAAAAATAAACACAACAATGGAGTGAATCATAAAGACAAGTTGTAGAAATTCAAACCTCTTCATGCACAGATATTGGAGGGAAAATGCCATTGACAAGAGCATGAAGTGAAGCATATGATTTTGAGTCGATGCATCGGTTCACTACAACTTCTCCCTATAAACCCCAAAATACAAAAATTATAATTTTAACTATGATTGTTGAATTTAACGAATGCTAAGAACATAATTATTAATGTTTTTTATGTAACCTTAGGATTGATTATGAAGATTTTTCCCTTTGGTATTCCAACTTTGACATAACTAAATTCATCTGTGTCTCGATTTCCAAAGCCAGCATAGAATGGATTCCTATCAGATGGAAAACATGCCTTGATATCCTGAGGATCCGAAATAATAGCTATGAGGGTCATTTTTGTCATTTAATAATATGAACCATTAATGAAGAAATACAACTCCTTTTGTCCCATGAAAATTCGTTTGTATGAAACTTAACGTCACAAGACACAAATATTTAATTTACTTTCACAAGCTTATTCTATTCTTGTCTTTATTAAAGGGTATTTTAGACATTTGACAAAATAGTCAAACTATTTCCGAAATTATGTGTTGAATTTCTTTGTTTATATATACATACTCACCTCCAAGCAAGCAATTTTGAATTCGTGTGGAGCTCTTCTTATAACTGCAAAAGGGTAGTAAAGTAATTTTAGATACCCATTCATAGCAGTTATTAGACTTAACATTAACATCCCACATGGGCACAATAGTCAATCTATCTACTTTTTTAAACCAAAAGTATGACATTATAAAAAGTGATCTCAATACAAGATTATATTATATTAAAACATTACCTTCACGAAAAAGAGAAGGAAAAAGTCCATCAGGAGAAATAACAACAGGCCCATCTGGCAAAGCCTTTCCATCCTACAAATTAACTTTTTGTTAATTACCCAAAAAAAAAAATTCTCCTTTTATGGAAAATAAAGAATTAAACTTTATTAAACCTGCTTTAGGTTGAACAAGAATTGTCTGGTGATTGATGCTTGAGAAATTGCTCGAGCACTTAAATAAAGCATTTGATATCCATTTTCCTACAACATGAAAACAATTCATATATGAAAAAAAAAAAAAAAAAAAAAAAGTGATGCTTCTTTTTAACTTAATGGGAACAGAACTTAATCCTTAAGCTATGTATGGGTTGTTCTTCTTTACTTAATATAGAAAAGAGTAAATTACACGAATGGTCCCTATGGTTTGGGGTAATTTGCGCGTTTGGTCCCTAACTTATTTTTTTAACTCGGAAAGTCTCTAATATTTGTTTTTGTTACGAGTTTGGTCCCTACTGTTTGTTTTTGTTACGCACTTGGTCCCTGTCTTACGTAAAAAGACTATTATTTAAATATGGAAAAATGGTGGGATAAATAAGGTAAGGTGAGAGGGATGGGGTTGGGAGTGTGTTTATTTATATAAATTAAAAAATCAAGGGCAAAATAGTTTGTTTAGGTAAGACAGGGACCAAACGCGTAACAAAAACAAAAAGTAGGGACCTTCCGAGTTAAAAAAATAAGTTAGGGACCAAACGTGTAAATTACCTTAAACCATAGGGACCATTCGTGTAATTTACTCTATAGAAAAAAAAGGACTTAATGGTATTAATTTTGGTCCTCAAGATTCTCTTATTTGTCATCATTAGAGCATATAATAGTCAAAATACTTATATTAAACTACAAATGAGTCGAATATTGCAATTTTTAATTTTTACAACAAACCTTAATCCCTGAAAAAAGATGTGTCACACCAATATGAGACCAATCTCTTCCAACCAAGGGCATGAATTGTCCAAGAACATCGGATCTGTAAGAAAGAAGCACATGTGTTATTATTTAATTCCATGGTTGTTGTGTGTACATATATGATTTTAAGTGTTTCATATTTGTTAAACTGGAAAGCTTTAATTGGAATAAAAGTTAGTGACATAGCACTTTAAATGAAAAAATTGTTAAAATTGATGCTATAAACATAAGGACTAACAAAGAATTACTCGGATGAATTTACAAGATAGGTCCACAAGTTTATGGAAATTGCCAAACAGTCCCTAAACTATATGCATTTTCAAACACACCATAGAAGATTCAGTAACTTGCAATACTTTTCTATGCAGTTTCCCCTTAAATATTGATATGGTTTTATAAGAGGCATCCGGTGTTTCACAATTTAAAGAAAGGGGTAATATGGGAAACTTAGCAACATAATGAGCATCTTATTAGTGAAGGGGTAATTTAGGTATTTTACCTCATTTAAGCTTGTTACAACAGAGTACTTAGCTAACTTTTTTCCATCAACTACTAAGCAACTCTTTCTTAATTGTTTCTCCTATTTACACTCCTAAATATCAATGTGCAAGTGATAATAACGATTAATCATTTGCTAAATATAAACTAAAACACACCACAATTATCCAACTTTATCTTCAAGAAAATAAAAAATCTTACTTTGTAATTGTTCCATCAACATCTGAGATGACAATACGAGTATCCCACCTCCACAAATAAATGCTAGCATCTACCTGAGACACATATACATCAAGTAAGCTATAAAAACAAGATAAAAAAAACAACAAATTAGAGAAACTTTTGTTAACCTTTTGAGGCCCTAACACTGATGTTGAAAATGTGAAGGTTACTGTGTTCTTCCCTTCTGACAAATTCAAAGAAGCTAGTTGCTCAGATGTTGGAGTAAGTGATCTTGTATGCTTATTTGAACTTGGTGTAGATGCTTCTGAATCAGGTATAATGTCAATATCTGAATCTTTTTTAGTGATTTGTTCTTTTGGAGAAACGTTTCTACTTCCCATTCTTCTAAATGGCCATAGACTCCAACTTCCACCACCACCATCACCACCTACACATACAATCTTCAAATCTTGATATTTCTTTTTTACTTAATGGATTTGATGTGAACAAAACTTAATCTAAATGTATGTTTGTTTTTGAAAGAATATAGAAAGAATGACTTAATAGAGAAAGTTAGAGAAATGAGTCTTTCCACATTAAGTACTACTACCTCCGTCCCAATTTAATTGTCCACATTTGACTTTTCAAGTCTTGATTCTTCAACTTTGACCATAAATATTGTTCTTTTTGATAGATAATACTTGATGCAAAATATATGAATGGAATGTATTTTCATTGTTATAAGTTTCATCAATTAATACATAACACAAATAAAAATATTTAAGGTCAAAATTGAAGAAAAAAGACTTGAAAAGTCAAAGTGGACAATTAATTTGGGACGGAGGGAGTACCTTTTTACAATCTTGCCCTCACTAGTTTTGTATCATCATTGATCCTAAATTTCATTTCAACACTTAATATTAAAGCACTGTATTTCATATATATTTCTTATCTAGACGTTTTAGTTTGACAAAAACACCCAATTTTGGCATTCTATTAAGAAAATTCCTTTGTATATGGATGACAACATTGCTAAAATTGGGTACATTTTTCAAGGGTTAATCTCAAAAAAAGACCTTATATTTAGTGTTTTTTCCAGATTAAACCTCAAATTTATTTTTTGCCTGAAAAAGACCTTGTATTTTTTCATTGAAAAAGACCTTGTACTTTTTCATTTTTTCCGATCTGGCCCTTTCAGTCATTTTTTTCCAAAAAAAATTGTAAAATGTGGGTTTTTTCGAGAAAAACTAGAAAAGTTGAGAGTTTATTTGGAAGCAAGTAGAAGGTTGAGGGTTTTTTCGGAAAAAAAAATACAAAGTTGAGGGCTTTTCGGAAAAAATACAATGTCTTTTTAAGGCAAGAATAAATTTGAGGTTTAATCCAGAAAAAACACAAAATATAAGGTCTTTTTTGAGATTAACCCATTTTTCAAAGTACAATAATGTAATATTAAGAAATGAAAGTAGGATTCTATACAACACAAATCAATGAAATTGCATTGAAAATTGTTGGTGTTCTTGATATCAATGATCAAAATATATGTATATGTAGAATAACCGAATAAGTGATTTCTAGTCTATTTTCTTGATTTAAACATAAAATGCAAGAAATAATCTCTTACCATTTGCAATTCCACCATCTTTAAGATCCTTTGTCAACGTGTCTGGATTTTGTGATAACTCTTTCTCTAAATTTGCTTTTATGATCCTTGAAGCATCTTCCCTAACCAAATCCCAATTCGATGATCTAAATTTATTAACAGGAGAATAAAATTGTGAATCCTCATGATTATCTTGAATTGGATCATCAAAATGAGACCACATGTTTGGAAGTGATTTTGCTTTCCTCCCAATTTCCTCTTTTGTAATTTCACGATTCATAGGAATATCAACATTACTTCTATACCTTCTAATATTCCCCTTGGCTTCTTTAATCTCACTTTTCGATTGTTCTTGATGGATTTTGACTGGTGGTGGATTGACTTTTAGCTCGGTGTTGTTGAAACTCGGTTTTGAATCTTCAACATCACTAAAGATAAACTGTTCTTCCACAATTTGTTCAGATACTTCTTGGATTACAATGGAATCACCATTAACATCTTGGAATTCGGATTCCAATGGTGGAAAATTTTCATTTGATTCTTTTACTTCAAATGTACTACATGAAACAACTACAGAAGCATCTCCTTCTTCATTAGATGCAACTTTTGTCACAATCTTTAAAGGCCCTTCACCATTTATTAAATCCATTTCTGCACCATTTTCATCATCCAATCGAGTTCTTGAACACTCTTTAGAAACACTTTGTTCTTCTTGAACCTCTTTATCAACAATGGAAGTGTCTGGCTTATTTACAAAGTGTTGTTCATGTAAAACCAAACTCCCTTCCAATCTTCCACCAGTGATTTCCATTTCCCCATTATCTTTTCTTGATTCTTTATTACATTCGTTCATGTTACTTCTTGATGAAAAATTGGTTGACCAATTCATCTCCAACAAATCGGCTGCAATCTCACCCTCCATTGTCATTCTACCAACATTTGAATCAATTTCTTCCTTTGACAAAATGTGTTCATTCATTGATCTTCTGCCAAGAACAAACCCTAAAATCCTAGACCTTTTAGAGTTATTCCTACCCAAAACCTTACCATCAACCGAATTAGAATCATCAAAATCATAATTCATACTTTTCGACTTGACTGTGATCTTTTCATGGTTTTTCCCATCTATTTCTTCACACATGGAAGAATGTGATGAAACTGAATGTGATGAAACTGGTTCTACTACTTCCTCTTCTGAATCAATCTCTCTGAGAAAGTAAGCCTCCCCTCTTGGATCTAAATACATATTGAAACCCACATCAACCCCATTAACATTAATGTCAACAACTCTCTCTTTTGCTTTCAAAACCCCTTGAAATTTCCCAAATCGAACATACCAAGGAGATGATTTCAAGCTACCATCTTGTTGTTGAACAACAACCATGTCAACAGCGCCACCAAATGGATGAAAAGGGCCTGAAACAGTGTAAACCCCTTGACTGATATAGCTACTTAATTTCCCTACAGCATACATCCTTCCGTAAATTGAAAGGTTCAAGATTCACACGCCCAATTTCACTAAAATCTCGTCATCAATTTGAAGAGATTTGAAACAAGACGCGAAATCTTGTAAACAGTTGTTTCCAGTAAACCCCGATTGTCCAAATTCCTCGACCAGTAGGGGACCAAACTAAATAAGATCAAATTTTGGGGATACCCTATTGATTCCCCACACGAAATGGGAAGCTGATTCCGAACTCTAGACGTTTCAATTAAAAACCAGAAAAGCGCCTCTAGCGAACTGTAATTGGAATCAAAGATGGAAGCTTGACTACGAAAAATTGCTAAATTTAGATACAAGTAGACAATTCGGAATTGATTTTTTTTTTTCAAATAAAATAAAGAACAAGCAATATCAGATAGATTGAATTATTACACAGTTGGCAAATGGGGAAAAGCATATTCTTTTCAGAGGATTCGATTGTACCACAAACCCATGACGGATTGATGATGGTTTTCGGCACAGTCATAGAAAATGACACCCATCCCCTTCTTCACATCCCTTGTATTTCCCGATTCTTGTTTCATCTTCTTCTTATATTCCACAAATCTATGGATGAAAATTGAAATAAGAAGGAATGAAAATGGGGAACGAAGGGGCTGAGTCGAGATACTGGGCCTGGAGGGAGAAACCCAGTTATGGTCGTGTTAAAGAATGACAAAGGTTGAAGGCGTAAAGGTTAATTTTTGCAATTCGGGTTCTGCTCGTTCGATTCTTTTTCTTTGAAAATGTCGATGAATCGTAGGAAACAGAGTCAGATTGTAGTTAATGATGGAGGTTGGAGTTGGTGTGGAGACGGGGCGTTGGGGACATAATGGTCAATTAACACGCCGATGATTTGATTTGATCGTAATATCTAATTTTTTCTTTTTTTTTCTTTTTTAAAAAAAGACATCACCGCATTCCATAATTAAATTTTAAAATATTTTTATCGGTTAAAATTGATTATAAATATTTAATTATAGATTGACTTTTTATAAAAATTGTCCATAGGGTGTCCGGTGTCTTATTAGCATCATTTTTTTTCCGGTGTTAATATATCGATATGTACGGTAACTAATGTGTTTTTAAATGGTTATTTAAGAAATTAGCATAAAGTACATAAAATTTTGATTTTGACATTTATTTTTTTTAAGTTGGACATTGTGTTTTTTTCATTTTGTTAAAATTCTTACTATTTTACCGGTTCATCTGGTCTGCTGACATGTCATTAAGACATTTCAGTTTTGATGATGTGACATATTAACATGTCAAATTTTAAAAAAAAATGTCACAAAAGACACTAACTTTTTATTTTTTTCAATTTTGACACTAAGTTTTTTATTTTATTTTTAATTGTGAGAGAAGATTTTTGCATAGTAATGTTAAGCAAAAAAGAAGTATATTTGCAAAATATACAACGAACGGTCTTTTGGTAATTAAAGTGATCCCCAGAACCTTGTGTTCCCAATATCACATTAGTTTATCAGAATGTGCATTTTACACCTCCAAGTTTATATTAACGTTGTGTATTTAATGAAAAATACGGTTATAATATAATTAATACATAGTTATACATAGCATTATGGTTTGAATTTAGAAAACATTGCATTTAGATAAAAAAAATGTGG